CTTTGTTAAATCAGTGTAGTAATGACGCACAAAATATCAAACATGTACCATCTAACCTTTTCCTTTACCAAGTGCGCATAGTTGAGTGAAAAAAATAAAATAGACATTATAAATAATACTCATAAACGCCCGACTCAGTAAACTGCTTGCCATTTTTGCCAACTCGATCAATTTTTGTTAAAACTTATTTTGCAAATAAAAATGAAGTCAAACTACCCTTCAATGTTTTCAAAATGTGCTGTTCTGTGCCTTTTCCTTTCAATTTTCAACTCATCTAATGGAGTCAGTTTTGTCAGCGGTGAAGACTGCTTTAAGGCAATCCACAGTGCGTCGATGCACTGCGAGGAGACGGCCAAGTATAACCAGACCGTTTTAGAGGGCACCACCCCGATCAACCAGGAAGTGTGCTGCATAGCCGTCAAGTACCTGGACTGCATCAAGGCGGACTTTCCGAAGGACGACAGCTGCAAACTGCTGGTCGACCCAATAAAAAACGCCACTGAGGAGAGGATAACTGCCACCTGTGGCTCCCAGAACTTACACTGCAACGGTGCAAGTTCTGCAGCTTTCCTTTCAACATTGGTGTTTGTCGTTTCGGTTTTAATTGCCGCCCACTTGTAGGCAAATAAATTTTGAAAGTTATAAAATCGCAGTGATATACTTTTTCTAAATAAAATCACACTTTAGTTTTTGTTTTTCATTTTTATTTCCTAAAGTCAACATTGATAATCATTGTGCAAATATGGTGCAGTTATTTTTAACTTGTAACATCAATGACAGTAGTTTTTCAGATTTTTTACTTCCTTATTGTTTAAAGTAAAGTTTAATCTTTTTGGGAATAGATGAGTGTAAATAACATACTTAAGAATTGCCTATTTCACATAGCAGCTTGACAGAAGTGCTAAATGATTTATTAGAAAAAACAATTTAGTTCAAATATTAGATAAAACATTGCTCTAATTAGCTTTTATAAACTAATAAAAAATTTGTTATATAAAGTAACAATTTTTACACAATTTTTTGCAAAGTGATTTTTTTGTTAAAAACTTTTATTACTTATTTTAAAATGAAACATTTAAACTTTGTATTTTTTGTTGTTTTTGTATTATTTTATTCCGTTTGCATTGGAAATCAAAACCAAAGTGTTACCGGAACAAAAATGGAAGATTGCCAATCGGTTATGAAAAATGCCATAAACCATTGTTTAAATGAAAAAATGTCGTCACAAAGTGAACCAATTACTAAAGAAAGCTGCTGCGCCGATATAAATTTTGTAAACTGCTTCAAATCTAAAATTCCAAATGACGAGTTTTGCAGCAAAATAAGTAAAATAGTTACTGACCCAGTAGATGAAATAATTGAAAATAATTGTACCAAGTTTTCAGCTTGTAACGGCAGTTCAACTAATGTCAATTTAATTTTAGTTTTAATTGCTTGTATTGCATTTGCTACTTTTTTACAATTTTTTTGGTAAAAATGTTATTATTAAAATAGCCAAGAGCAATTATTTTGTTTCAATAAAAATCATTTTAAAAAAATACGCTGTTAAAATTTATTTTAAATTTATTTTTAAATTGATCACTACTTGTACTTTATTGTAGGACATGCATCATGCGTTTTATTTAAATACAAGATCACAATAAAATCACAACTATTTAAACAGTTTAAAAAAATAAATGAGAATTTTACAATAGAAGAACATGCACTGCAAACATTAAAAAAATAAAAAACTTTTGTTAGTGTTTCATGAAACAGTAAAACAACTCCAAAAATTTAGCTGTTACCTTTTGATAGGTGGCAAAGGTGATCGGCCCAAACTGCCGATAATTGAGGCCGTACTTTTGGTCAGTGTGAAAGGCGGCAATGTAGTGGCTGAGCTTCAGCTTTGCCTTCAGGTCAAATCGGTTTTGACGACCACTTTTTGAACAAGAGGAAGAGGAAAACGGCATCAGCCCCAAGTTCACCCTGATCATCGGGCCGACCGGCCTGTGGGCGGTGGCGGTCATTCGCGTGACGCACAGGTGGCAGACCAACATGAAGGTGAGCTGAAAGAGCGCCACAAAGCCGAGAATGATGTTCAGCAGGAGGTCGGTCTTGGAGTGCTTGACGATGATGGTGACGATGGTCGCATTGGAGGGGTAGGAGAGGAGGAGAAAGTCGAAGAGGGCGGCGCCGTGGACGCGGTCCAGGTCGGCCAGGACTGTCAGGTACTGCACGTTTAGCTGGAGAAAGTTGGACAGTTTTTTGGGTGTGAAAGTACGGACATTATTATTAGTGGTTTCCGCCCCTGCCTGAACCGAACGGTTGTTCACCTGCTCCAGGCGAGTGTAGACGATCCAGTTGGCGATGAAGCCGGTGACGCCGGAGAGGAAGATGACGTCAAAGAGGTGGTAGGAGGTGCGCACTAGAAGCAGGTAGTTGGGCGTGAAGACGAAAAATACCAAGGTCAGCCCCCAAACGCTACCGAACAGGCCGTTCTGAGCAAAGATGAGTAGGTTTTTAAGGAAAAGAGCCGCGGCAAAAATTGAGCAAAAAACGTAGGACAGCTTGCAGAGGTTGATGAGGAGAAGGGCGTAAAGCTGAAACTTTTCTACTAAATTGCCACTATTTAAACGTTTTTTAATCCCCCACTTCTTTGCCCTCTTCTTTTTAGGCACTTCTTTATTGGCAGTTTCGGAGAACCAGCCTTCCGCTGCTGCTGCTGCTGCTGCTTTGGGCTGGCTTAAGAACCAGCCCTCACCACTTCCGTCGACGATGATCCGCCGGACGATGTCCGCCGTGAGGCCATTATTCTGGCAGTAGGCAATGTCCTGGTGGGCGAAGCCAAACAGACAGAAGAGGACAATCCAAATGTTCTCGTTTTGAGAGACCTCATCCAGGTAGAAGAAGTTGACTGCAAGCAAATTGGTCAACGGTGAGAGGGCGTCTTGAAGGAGGAAAAACCCGGTAAAATGAACTGCCTGCAGTAGAAAGAGCACCTTGATGATGTTAATTCGACGTACTGTCTGCTGATCACCGGCGGTCATCAGTTTAACCGTATTAAAATAATTTGAAAAGTACGAGAGATCGTAAAAGAAGAAGAAAAAGTAGTTTTTGTGCATTCTTTTGTATGTTTGAGCAAGTTGATGAAAAAGCTTTAGCATTTTTGTTTGTAAAATGCAAAATTTCTGTTGCAGTTCAAAAGGATTATTTAAGCAGTTGTGCAGGGTTATATAAAACAAAAGTCCACTTGTTTACTGAACTTACTACTTCTTTTACTTTAGAATTTTAAGTGCTCAATTTATTTAAGTAAAATTATGCATAAAATTCTGTGAAACTAATTTTAATTTTGCAAACATGCAGCAGTGTTATTGATTGTGTTGTGTAAATAATAGAATAGAAAGGTAAAAAAATTGGGTAAAAAAGAAAAGGTAAAACTGTCAGTGTTAAGATAATAAATTGTCAATGACAATAAATGTAAGTGAGTGAGTGAGTGTGTGTGGTCACTGCGCGTCATAGCATTTTAGGTTGAAAACGGAAAATTTCATTTTGTACAGTAGAATTTTATATTTGTGTGAGTATTGATTTGCTTCATGCAGGCGGTAAATTCTACAACAATTTAAATATCATTAGCACATAAAAGTAAAAAACAAAAGGAAAACTGTTCTACTAACACATTTTTGCATGTTTTCTTGCTTGTATGCCTTTTTCAAGTATAGTAGACAATTGTGCTTTGCAATTAAAAGTATTTTCAGTATTGTAAAACACACACCCACCAAATACTAAAATCAAAACTGAAGTCGATAGTTGACCTGCTCCTGCAGACACTGACAGGTGAGACAGATGGCCGGGCAGGGTCGATACAGAGGTGGCAGGCTGATTTGAAAGCACTTGTTTGAAGAATATTTTTTAAATGGTGATTGTTTCCTGTAGCGAATGCTGTAACAGCGGCAGCCCTTCTTGAGGCACTTCCAATTGAAGGAGGGCTTCACTGAGACGGCCCGCTTGGGCGTCGAGCCTAGGCGCAGCTTCTCTCGACTGTCCACGCAGAGTTGCACTGTTTTACCTCGAACACCGTCCAGCAGGTGATCAGGGCAAATCAGTGGATTGTGGTTGCTTTTTGACAGTTGAAACAGATTATTAAAAAGTAATAAAACAACTAAAATAATTGTATGATTGGTATGAAATAATAAAAATGATGATTTGATGATTTTTCTATAAAGATGCATTGTCAATTTAACGCAAAACTTTGCGCTTCAGAAGCTAGCTAGCACACATTATTTTAGTGGTTTTTATTTAATTTTGTTAGAAAACACAAGACAAAAAAGGTTAAAAGTGTTCTCAAAATTGAGACAGCCCAGCAAGCACACAAGCAACAACTGTTTAGCACCAAAAAAAGAAGAAGGCAAATGAGGACAGAAAACTCAAGTTTTCTGTTTGTTTTGTAGTAGTGAAAACTACTACTTGAGCTACTGAAAACTTAATTTTCCGTGACTGAAAAGGTAACAACAGTAGCAACAGCAGCGGCTACAGCAAGCTGAACTAATTTTCTTGTCAAGTGGTTGTGTTGCTGTTTTTGTCATCATTAATCTGACAAGAGCAGCAAAAACAAACGAAGCTGCCAGTAAAAATAACTAAAAAATTTAATAATTACAAACAAGTTGTTTAGTAAAAGTTAGGATTTTAGTTTTGTTTAAAAACATTTGTGTTTAATATTTTTAACTATCGTTAACTGTTTTTAATAATGCGCATTTAAATTTTAGTCAGTGATCAAAAATTAAAATGACAAAATTAATAAAAAAGCAATCCAACAATTTATTGATAAATCAAAAAGTGCAAATAAAAACGACTTTTCATTACAAAAAAAGTGTTCTAATTGTCACAGAAAATATTGTCTCTCATTGATCAGTGTCGTTTCAAAAATAAATAACTGTTTATAATAAAAGAGTGATAAAAAGTGGCATACTCTCTCTCTCTCTCTCTCTCTCTCTCTCTCTCTCTCTCTCTCTCTGAACTACCACTTAAGAGATGGTGCACTTTTTGTTTTTGTCGTCTCCTCCATCGGCACCCTCAGTTGGGTGCTGAGGATTCAAGTGGGGGTTATCCAGTGCAATCAACTCCAGCAGATATTCAAACAGGTTGTCCACTTCAGAGATGTGCTTGGCACTGAAATGATAAACGAGAATAATAGTATTAGAAATGGAAAACAATAGGCAACCCAAGCTGCCCACTGCACCTCATTTCCACATAGGGACACTTCATGTACTTGGCCAGCTCTTTGCCCTCTTCCACGGAGACAACTCGGTCCTCCTGCAGATCAGACTTGTTGCCGACGAGGATCATCGGTGGACTAAAAACAAAAAAAAATGTTAAAAAAGAACTTAATTGCACAGTATTGACAACTCACATAATGTTTCCAGTCTGCTCCAGCAGCTTGTCGTAGGTGATCTTTGCCACATTGAAGGACATTTTATTGTCAATGCTGTTTCAAATAAATAAATTTGTTTAAAATTTAAATATATTTAAAATTGTGAGTAATGACCTGAAGACGAGAAGGTATCCGTGAACGTTGTGAGCATAGGCGGGTGGAAAGAGCGAGTACTCATCTTGGCCAGCAGTGTCGATGATCTTCATGGTGTAGTCGGTGCCCTTCACATTGATGTTCTTGTACAGGACTGAAAAAAAGTGTAATACTTTAAGTACTGAAACACAGTCACATCATCCTCATCATCACTTACTACTTTCAACGGTTGGGTCGTAGTGATGGTAAAACTTTCCCTCGACGTAAGACGAGGCGATGGTCGATTTGCCTGTACCAATAAAAAACAAATAGTGTGATCCACAGGTGTGATGGCCAATTAATAAATGTGTCAACAGTACTCACCCACACCTCGGTATCCGATAATGCACGAAACTCGCCACTTGGGAACGGGTTGGAGAAAGCGACTCATTATTTCCTAATTGGCAATAAGTAAACAAAAAGAGTGATGAACAAATAGTTGAATGATGAAGGCAGATCAACTCACAATGGACAGTCGAAGACAGCAGTCTACGTGGTACACACACAAAAAGAGTGCTCTCTGAAAGCTGAAGGAATAACACAAAGTGAGCTTGTGGGAAATGTGAAAAGATGCGCAGATCGGTCTTCATGGAAACTATTCGCCAGGGCGCACCAAGCGGAGCAAGGCAGAACGGCACTTTCCATAGGCAGCACAGCAGCAAAGCAGCATTTACTGACAGTGAGGGCAGTCAGTAGAGGACGGACAGGAAAATGATACACCACAGAATTAGAGTGGCAAAACTGAATGGCTCATTTTAGGGGGATTTTCGGATTTTCATCCACTCAGCGTTATCAAAACTTTGCCTAACTTTTTATTTTTCTTCCGTTTGTTGCCATTTTGATGTTGAGGTGACAGTGGCTCGTTAGGCAAAAAGAGAATGTAAAGAGAATGTTCAGAAGTGTACAACAAAAAGATTGTTAAGTGCTTAGAAATAAGTAAATGAGTGAGTGTGTGTTTTGTGTGTTCAGAGATTCATATGATTGTGTGTTTCAGGTGAAAGAAACAGAGTAAAAGGGCTGAATTGTCATTGTAAATTGTCATTTCAGGTAATTTGGCAGTTGTAGCGGCACTACTTGATAAATTGAAGGATGTAAAGAGAATGTTCAGAAGTGTACAAACGAAAAAATTGTTAAGTGCTTATAAATAAGTGAATGAGTGTGTGTGTGTGTGTGTATTATGTGTACAGAGAATATCACCTCTTTCAGGTGTCGTTTCAGGTAATTCGGCAAAATTACTCGATAAAATGGCCAAAGATAAACAGCGAAGTCTAAAGAGAAGAAAAAGAAGAATGAAAAGATGTTGTCAGTCAGTCAGTCAGACAGTCAGTCAGATTTCTCCCTCCCTCTGATCATTGACTCCAGTTACTACTACTTACCGCAGCGATCAAGGTCGCGATGAAGTAGCTGAGAAGCTGCTCCAGGCTGTGCTCCTCGGTGAAGTCGCTGTAGGCAATGAGCAGCATCGCCACCGCCCAAACGACCATAATGAGCAGAGCGAAGAGAACGTCCACCATCAGCTTCAAGTCATCGTTCCGGTTCTCCTCGATGACACTGGTGAAGCCCTCCTCAACATCCCCAGTATCACCGCTCAAGCCCATGTCGCCCAGATAAACTGAGCCGAACTTGTCCTCCTTGGTTAAGGGAGCCCGGCGAACTCCATCATACAGGCCTTTCTTCTCCATTCTCAAGCGAATTCAATGTCGAGGTTGACTAGACTAGAGGTTGAAGTGTAAAGAAGTGATGGTGTTAGTGATGGTGACAGGTCAATGCTGGCGAGGACAACACATACCACAACGAGCACTCTAACTCTATCTCTTCAGCACTTCTCGGAGCACGACTGAGTGAGGCTGATTCTGGCTGACCGAAAAAGAGAGCGATCAGATTTCGTGCTGTGAAAATGATGAGCAATTAGAGACAATAACAAACACTGTGAAAGTAGAGATTCGCTTACGCTTTAGCTTTGGGCAAGTGAGATGGGACTGAGTGAGCTGGTGAGCTGGTGAGCCGAAGATCCTCCAAGAAAGTGTGACCTCGACGTGAAGGTCGTCGTCGTTGTTGCTGATGAAGACGCGTCAGGAGTGCTGGCTGGGTAAACAGAAAACAGAAGACCGACTGACAGGCAACTGTTGCAGTCTTGCCGGATATTTGAACTGTTCTCTCGGAGACTCGCTGAAGCTGAATGACTGGCTAGAGTTGTTGACATAGTGTGTCCTCAGCAGGCTGTGTGTGTGTTACCGCTAGCCGTGTTAACTAACTAACTAGTCGAAACAGCAGATGACGCCAGCTAAGCCATAACACAGCACAAAAGAGGGTTTGCAATAGTACAGTGGGAATCCAAGATACACACAAAAAGTGTGCTAACTCAGAGCAGTGCTTTTTCATTTGCAAAGTTCGTTACAAAATTTGTGCCTGGAACAAGTTTTAGCAACTTTCTCCTTTCAACCTGCCTCCTCAAAGTGACTTCAAGATACACACACAATGCTTTTCTATGCTGAAGAAAAAATGTTGTAGCGCTTTTTTCAGGGCGAAATCGTGTGTGTATCTTGGGGTCTGTGTGTATCTTGGAGACCCACTGTATTTTTTTTGACTTATTTTGAAAAGTCGTTTTGGTGGGAGACAGGTGAAAAAGTGATGGCAAGCCAAAACTTCAGCGAGATTCTTTTTGCATGCACCGCTAAAAATTTGCAAATTTGGGCCGTGCACCGATAGATAGTTGCAATTACTGTTACTGTTGACGGAAGTTGACAGTGGTCAAGTCACGTCAAACCTAGCCGCGTGCAACGCTAGTAACTTCACATCACTTTTTTTTGCAGATCTCTAATGTGACTTGACCACTGTTAACTTCCGTCTCCTGGGGCCCCGCTTGCTTTGCTCGCGAGGCCCGAGGCGGCAGAAGTTTACAGTGGTCAAGAGGCGCCAGACCTCGCCGCTCTGTGCCGTGCACTGCTGAGGAATTCATGTGCAGTGTTCACTGTGTTGGGCAAACACATTAGCTGCAAACATAGTGAAGGGAATGGTAGCGCTCCCAAGGGACCGCAGACAGTTTGCATTCGCTTGCAACGGCAGGCTGCTTCTTTTTCCCCACTGTTGGCCGTGCATTATTTTTTATTTTTGTGTTCCAGGATCTCGGGCCCCGTTGATCGTACAACTCTAATTCTTTCACCTGAATTTTTGTTAGAATTCAAGTGATCTTTGTGCCAAATTTGAGCAAAATCGAAAATAATAGGAAGTATTTAATGGGGCCGGAGACGAGGACACCGGACACCGGACAAACGACTAAAATTATAAGCGGGCTTTTTTAAAAAAAATCTCGCTAAAAGTGTCTGCGGAACTTAAAAATAGTGATTCTCGCTGGGCACACTTTTGGCAGATAAATCTCTGTTTAGTTCATTCGTTTATTTGAATAATGGTGCGCAAAGATGGCCGACAACAATTCGAGTACACTAAAACTTGAGTACAGTCGACGGGAATATATGAATCATGACTATACGAATGTGTGTGTTTTGTATGCGCAGAAAAAATATAAATGCGTGTGTTGCGTGTTGCACGTGTATAGGAGTTCTACGACCTCATTCAGGTGTCGTTCAGGTGCGCCTTATTCGCCCATGCTGTAGACAAGAATTTTAAAAACGAACCACATAATCTAAAGAGGAAAAGATGAAAAGAGGTTGTCAGTTGTCAGTCAGTGAGTCAGCTGTGAGGCAGTCAGTTTACTCCTTCCTTCTGCTGACCTCCGACTTCATTTACTTACCACAGCGAGCATGGAGGCGAAGCAGTAGGTGAGACTCCAGGCCTGGTTCTGCTCATCAATGAAGTCCTCGTCGTCGCCGTCGTTGACAATGAGGATCATTGCCACCATGCGAATGCCGAGAATGAGCAGCTCAGAGGCCACGGTAATGGTCCAGTTGTGGCTGAGCACCTCCTCGACATCAGCGTACAGGCTTCTCATCACCACACGAGGGTTGGTCACCTCCTCCGCGGCTATCACAAAGACTCCATAGGGGTTTTGCATTCTTCGCTGCTGCATGTTTTCAGGCGGAATGTCTAGTTCTAGGTCGATGTTCTAGGTGAGGTAAAGAAGTGATGGTTAGTGATGACAGGTCGGTGGTGGTGGTGGTGGTGTTCACAGCTGGATCGGGGGCAACACTTACCACAACGAGCACTTTTTTGAGCACGACCGAGTGAGGCTGATTCAGGATGACCAAGAGAGAGAGAGAGAGCGATCAGATTTCGTGCTGTGGAAATGATGAGCAATTAGGGACAATAGCAAAGACTGTGAGAGTGGTAGAGATTCGCTTACGCTTTAGCTTTGGGCAAGTAAGATGGGACTGAGCTGGTGAGCCGAAGATCCTCCGGGAAAGTGTGACTTTGACGTGAAGGTCGTCGTTGCTGAAGATGACTGCGAGCAGCGCTGAGTAAACACCGAAGTGTACCGACTGCCAACTGTTGCAATCTCGCAGGATATTTGAACTGCTCTCTTTCTCGGACTCGCTGGCTGGCTGGCTGGCAATTACAGAACGCGCTCAGCAAGCTGTGTTAACTAACCAAAACTGCAGATGACGCCAGCTAAGCCATAACCATTCAAAAAAACGCCCTACGACGTAGTATCACTCTTTGTTTTTCTCAAAATTAATCTAATTTTTAATTTGTTTCCTCCTAAATGCCAACTTTAATTTTGCTACTTTGCCCTTTTCTGCGGTGGCCAATTTGCCCTTTCAATATCGCCTGGTCTTTCCATTTATCACTGATGTCTCTCCATATTAAAAAACTTTGCACACGCTGCTCAGCAGCAGCAGCAGCATCATCCAATCCCATGAAGAGACTTTGAGTTGCCGCCGCTGCCGCCGCCGATACAGCCGATACTCTAGCCACTCACATCTACCCGAATCGTTCTACAGCTAAAGTTCAC